CCCAATCCCCAACTCCAGGCGGGGACACCTGCAGCAGCTTTTCCCCACGGACACGAGGATCTTCCTCTGTGCCACCAGCTCCGGATCCTGGCAACGCTGGGAAGAGGCTCTGAAATGCCGCAGTGGGAGCGTTCAGCGCAAGATGTGTCATTTGTAGATAGAAACACTATTTTGAGATTTAGAACATTCAGATATTTTAAATATTAACTATTAAAAGCAAACATTTTTTAAGTTCCTACACAAACACATATTTATAGCACCGGTTGACACGGGCTGGCTGAGCTGAGGCTCGGTCCCAGGCAATAACCATACGTGTAACAACATCAGGACCTTCATTCCTCACAACCCAATTTAATGCCGGCTGCATTTAAGTCTTGCCCAGCCCGTAGAGACCTCGGGACACCGGGCAACGTGGAGCTTCGCTGCAATTTAAGAGATGCGATAATGAAAATACTGCCCTGACCCAACAGAGATGTGCACCAGGACTGAGCTTCAGGTGCCCCTAAAGGGCGACTCATCAGAGCTAAATGGAAACCTCTGCGGGGTTTTCTCGAGGCATCACGCCGTTTTCTCGAGGTATCATTCTTCTTTTCAGGCAAGGACGCACAAGGCTGCCCTGTTGTCACCTACGGGGAGCAGGGTCTAACTCCCACAGCCCAGCCAACGCTCCCACTTTCTCCTGAGCTTCGCTCGAGCCAGGGGAGCCCAGCCCTCAGGTCCCCCCCCCGCTCCCCCCCGCGCTACCGCTCGGCGTAACGGCGCAAAAAGGGTCGAGGCGCGATTTTTCACTGGATTTGGCACATACAGAGGATGCGGCACGGGTTGTGGTTCTGGGAGCAGAGGGCGCGGGCACCAAAACACAACCCAGCTGTGTGAGATTCCCCTCCCACAGCCCCGAGCAGAGCCAGGAGGGGCTCGGACCCCCTCGTGCCGTGCCCACTGGCGGCTCTTCCCTCTCCTCCCCAAAATTGCTGGCCGGCCCTTACCCCCTTGCAGATCGCCACTGCCTCCTTGGACATGGACTTGGGGTAGGCTACGTTGTGCTCCATGATGGACTGGAAGAGCTCGTCTTCATCTTCTCCCTCAAAGGGGGCCTGGAGCAAAGCAAAGGGAGGTTCAGTGGCGCTTCTTCACCTCTGAGCTCCCACGATGCTCAGCCCCGACGCCAGACACGACCACGCCACGTGTCCCAGCACCGCGTGTCCCAGCACTATGTCCCTGGCACCGCACCTCCAGCACCAAGCAGACACAAGTTGCTCCTGGGAAAAATCCAATTGGACTCCAGAGGAAAAATTTTCACCATGAGAGCAGTTAGACATTGGAATAGTGTTCCAAGAGAAGTGGTGGATTCCCCAACCTCAGACGGTTTTAAGGCTCAGCTTGACAGGGGTGCTGGGCTGCCTCATTTAAACTGTGTTTCTTTACCTTAAAGGGTTGGGCCAGATGATCCTTGAGGTCCCTCCCAACCCGATGATCTACGATCAGATGTCCCCCGCCATGGGCCAGCACCCCAGCAAATCACACGTCAGCGTACACTCACGAAGGAATTTACCACAATCCCACAGGAATCAATTAAAATTCAATTACCTGGCCAGCTAGCATTTCGTAGAGCAGGACTCCAAACGCCCACCAATCCACAGACTTCCCGTAGGGCTGATAAGCAATTATCTGCAAACAACAGAAACAGCGGGATTACACCCCCGTCCTTAAACTGTCGGCACAAGACAAATTGATTTCAAGCTGTAGCCCAGGTAAAAAGGACGAGGTTATTTACCGAGATTCCGGTCTCCGAATGGTGGGAAATTGCAATGACAAACAAAACATGTAAATTCAGTAACTTTAAAAAATCATCAGCCTCCAGATGTGCACTAAGTATTAACCCAGAATATTCACTGTGATTTCGCACCTTCTTCTGATTCAGACAAAATTTTAGTGCGTTTGTTGTGCTCTTGCCGACCGGGCAGGTTGATCCAGAGCAGCAGCTGGTCCTGCTCACCCTGACGCACTTTAGGATTCTTTTCCTGCCGACTTCAGTGCAGTTGGTTTGAAATAACAACGCAGAGCGTGGCTCCCCATGGATGGTACGTGGTCCTTTAAAACAGACCTGCAGCACACGGGTAGTCAAACCCCGCTGCATTCCAGGCTGCTGCTTTGCATCAATAACAGATTATTTATGGCAGAACATCCCTGACAAAATAGCCAAATAACCCATGGCCCCACCTCTAACCCGAGCCACGGGGTTGTTTCAAAGTTAGATAAAACTCTGGGGTCTGTGTTGGTTTGGTGTTTTATTTAATTTAAAAATATCAACATGGCTTGAGGTATCCACAGCTGAACTCCATGAGCAAGACCCCACATACAAATGGGAACAGACCCAGCCCTGGCAGAGGAAGGAGCCAGGCTCCTGCAGGCACCTTTCTGCTTCCAAGGGTCTTTCGAGCTCCGGTGTAGCTGCTGGGCTGCTGGTGACGGGTGTCACTTCAGCGTTTGGGGTTTGACAGGCCTGAGGCTTTGCCATCTGTCACTTAATGCAAAACAACGACGCAGTTTATTCATCCGAGTTACGGAATTCTCTTCTGCAAAGATTCCCAGGCTCGAGCGCCAGCGTGGAGCGTGTGCTAACCACGGCGGAGCGTCCACAGCCGCCCGTCCCCGGGG